AAAAATATTTTATATTTTCAATAATAATAATTCGCTAATTCAAATTTATTATGTGAGAAAAAAAAATTTTTTTTTCGTTTTCTTCCTTTTTTCTTTTTGTTTAAATAATAAATTGTCAGCAATTTTTACGCATTTCTTTTATGCATGAAATGTTTGAGTTATGGAAATTTGAATTAAGTCTTACTCAAATACTTAAATATTGGAATGATTTTGGGTTAAATAGTTTCAATTTTTATACATTTCTATAATGCATGAAATGTTTGAGTTATGGAAACATGAATTAAATTAAATTACCTGAATACTTGAATATCGAAATGGCTTTGGGTTGAGTATTTTAAATTTATATTTCATATTATGAGACCTATTCGGTTACGTATTAAAAATGTTGAAATTATATTTTAAGGAATTAACTCATCGATTAGTGCTAATTGATAAATCATTGCTAATGAAATATTGTTTGGATAGAATTAATTAAAGCTTTCTCAATCATTTTAAATTTAAATTTTGCTAATTCAAACTTTTTTTTTAAACATTTCGTATTAATTAAAAAACTTCAGTTTACTTGTCTTCTTTTTACTTTTTGAAAAAGTGGAATGCAATTAGAATTTGGATAAATTTTTGCACATCTTTTAGTCTTAATTTATATATGAATACTTCTGTGATCTTTAATCTGTAAATTTTTTTTATTATATTTTTGATGCACAATTTTTTTTCGTCATATCGTCTTATCAGAAGTTTTGAGGGAAAGGATAATTTTCATATCAAAATAATCACTTCCTTAACCTTCTCGTAGCTTACAATACGTGACGATATGATAATAAATGATAAAAGAATAATGACTTTTCTCCATTTATCTTTCGTCAATTTTTTGCATATTTTATTATAAATAAAGCAATAAAAAAGAAAAAATTAAGATAACGACATCTGTATAGCATTTTGTTAATTAACAGATGAATTATAATTGCTATCATATCATTAGTTAGCAATTATTATTGGATAATTGGATATCATTTTAATCATATCAGTAGATTGATCCAATTTCAATCAATAATGATAAAAGTAACCATAAAGATAACGATGTGAATAATAATTTTAATTACATAAGATTTGATATAATTATTTAAAATTATTTTCATTCTATGACATTTAAATGTATATGACAATAGATAAATATAATGATAAAAGATTTGAATAAATAATAA